AACAGCCTTAATAAACCTGGCTCAGGGTTCATACTCATCACTTAACAGCCAGATCCCTACACTGACTAGGGAGGGAGCTAAACCTGACATGTATTATAGCATGTAACACTGTAAGATATGTATGACAATATAAATAATCTGAAATAAGTTCAGAACTTTTACTTTAAGTGTCTAAATTCTTCCTTCAGCAGTGTCTGAACATTAACTCGACACAGGCTGCTTTAAAACCTAAGAACAGAAATGCACAAGGACCAAACCCAAGCCTCAAGATCCAGCTGAAGGTTTTATTTATCACACCTTCATGGCACCATTACCAAGGTCCAGAGACTTTAGAACAATAATATTATAGAAAATCTGAGCAATAAATCACACTTTACTGTCAGTAAACTTCATTATTAACTTTTATATTGTGATTTTGTGTCAGTTTTTTGGCAAATGAGCAAAAGTCATTCTACAAGTTTAAGGAAGTGAAGAGAAATGAAACCAGAAGTAACATTTTATAACAAATAATAATGATAATTTGTTATTTAAAATGTTATTAATATAATACGTCATTTTTAACTGTCACAGTTTTTCCTTCACTACCAGTCTGATTTCCTGTGACCCCCTCCTCCTTTGAACTCCCCCAGAAACAGATTCAACACCCCTGATTCAAGCTGTAAACCTGCTGAGAGCTCAAATCAGACATTTCCTGTAAGTCCATGAGTGCTTCAGTAGAAATAAGAATGATTATTAATTCTCCTGCTAACATCCACACTCACTCTTTTCCTCCAATACACACAAACTTCAATGCAAAGGTGTAAAAAACCAGAAAAACAACAGAAAGCTTCAGTAACCCCCCACCTTCACCCCAGTGAGCTTTACCAAGATGTAAATGCAGAAGCAGCAGCATCCACAGCCCCATCGTGTGTCCATGGACTGTGCCAAAGTTAGACTGCTTCAAGGCGGCTGATAAGCTGTTTGTGGGGCTGAGGACAACCTATAGAGGGAGGGAAGGGCAGCACAGGGGCATGTGTTATTGTACAGCTCTGAGTTTCTGTTTCCACAGAAGTCCCTCCCTGCTCACACTACAGCTCCAGCTCCTGATTACAGAGCACACAGGACGCCAGCAGCACTGTCTCAGACCTTTATTGGTTTGAAGCGCGAGTCTGTACAAAAACATCTGAGGCTTCTTGTTGTTTTTGATCAATATAGAAATGAAGTGGCTCAACGTTGGCTGCTGTGAATACAAACATGCAAAAATGGCACAAACATGTTGTGATTATACTGTTTGAATAAGTTGTATGAGTGCATTACAGAGATATGATGTGCTTTATGTGAATGAAAATAAGCGAATAAGCAGGCTGTGTGACGCTGATTCACTGCAGACACGTTCATGATCAGACATGATGAAGAGTTCAGACACAGACGTGCCCATAATAACAGTAGCTGCCTTTAGACACACATAAGAATCAAGTCATTTCATCTGCTGTCAGATTATTTCTTCCTGATTAAAACATTAAAAATCATAAAAAATGTCCAGCAGTGCCCACCAGAGACCAGAGGGACAAAAACCAACAGCAACAATCAATCAGATTGATTCAGAGATAATCAGCTCTACATCACTGATTACAGAGGTCCTTACAGGAAAAAGAAACTAATCGTCACTGACGTGAAACATACAGGAAATGACTTCAGTTTGTTACGATTCTGTTTTTCTGTTGTGTTTCAGTTTGTTTTACTGTCACCAACAAGAATAAAAACTAAAACTAACGGAGCTGGTTACGCAACCAGTGCTCAGAGCAGCAGCTCTCCAACACAGACACATCACAGTAACCAAACATTTTACAAACGTCAGAGTTTCAGTGCTGATGGACAAAGTCTGCAGATGAGAGACGTTATTGTCCAAAGGGGAAGAAGTCGATCCAGAAGACGCCC